CGCTCTGTAAATATTTCCATGATAGCACCAGCTCCAAACCTTCTTCCAACACTTTTTAAACACATTACATTATATACATGTCATTTGTTTAATACATGCACTATGTTAACTAATGCTACTCACTAACTTTGACTTTTTATTGGCTTTCCTGCAGCTATAATCTATGGCATCTCTACCAACCACCATACAAAGCCCATGCCAAGATCCTGGGTCTCATTTTTCAATTACAATTTTAATAAAGCATTTATAAACAAGTTTGTTGTTTTCTTAGTGTTAACAAGAAAACAACAAGACAAGACACTCGGAATTAATCTTTGCACATGTTTAAAGCTTAGAGTAAATACACTGCTCAATTAGTATTTAATTCTATTCATGATAAATATGTTGCCAAATATGGCATTTCTTTTAAATCTATATATATTATGAGTCTTTTCTTACACACACACCATGCAGTATATTCAACTGCATGGTGTCAATCAATTGATCAGTTAGCCAGTCAATTAAAAATGTTAAGGATTTATGATTTGTTTGTTTTTGTCTTTATGTATCAAAGCTTGGCTACAAAGCCATGGCCCTATAAGCAAACTTAAAATGAATACTGGGCTCTGTTTTCACAAGTTCAAGTCAAGTCAAGTATTTATTTATTGTCATTGTCAAAGAACAATGAAATTGCGTTTGGGGCTTCCGTACAACCCATAAAAAAATAAATAAATACCCCTTAAAACCCCTTCAGATTTTATTTCCGGTAGCATCTATTACATAAAGGAAATGGGGAATCCCTCAGGAAACATTTTAGTGACACCAGGCATTTGAGGTCTGTGGTGACAGACGTGAAGGTGATGCCATGAAGGGATGAAAGTCAGCAGGTTTTCATCCAAATCAAACAGCTAATTTCACTTATTGAGCACATGTCAGCAAAAAGAAGCACCTGAAAAACTGCCGGCTCTTCCCTTAATGGCGAACTCACCCTAGCCGATTTTATATCTTCAAATCAAACAGAATTAATTTAAAAAAAATATTAAATTTGCCAGCACTCTGGTGAAATTCACTTTGCACTGCATTTTCTTTGGGGCAACATGCCACTGAAACCATGTAAAATTTATGGAGGTCTTGGGCCTTATCCATCTCATAAAGTAGCCTTGAAATTAAAAATGAGGAGTAAAAATGCCCCTGGTAATCAGGTGTGCCCTTTAATAAATGTCAACCTGCAAATTTTCACCCCAGCAGTTATTCATTAATGTGTTAATGTCCCCTCTGCGCCACCATACAATAGGTAAAGATAATGGCCAGGCGATACTTTTCAGTATTTTCTCCGCAACAAAAGGAAAGCAACCAGATTTTGTGGATCAGAATGCAGAGAGTGATGCCGAAAAAAGGTTTTGAAGCTCAGGGGAAGAAAAAAAAAAGGCTGGTGGTAAAAGACAGAAGAAGGGGCATTAAGTTTCTGGAAGGTAAAAGTGATAACACTTTCAATAACTTTACAAATATTTGATATTTTACCAATATACAATTTTTTATATATATATATATATCATTAATATATATATATAGTGACCTATTAACCACTTACTGAATTAAAAAAAATATATATTATTATTATATAAATGTATATTAAATATATATATATAAATATATTATATATATATATTATATATATAGTTTTTTTTTTTTTTTTTTTTTTTTTTTTAGTTTAAACAAAATAGGATTCAAGAACCTGAAATGCCTCTGCCCCCAAATGAAAGGAACAATTATTTTGGATTATCTTCCCAAAAACTGCTTCATTTCATCAAACTTTGGTATATCTTCTGTTTTGACTATGTTATTGTACAGAACTTTGGTCAACAATTGTTGTTTTTAAAAGTGCTATATAAATGAATAAAACTTGAAACTTGAACTTGAAAGCAAAAGTACTGCAAGAATCACCAAATTAGTAACGTTTCAGAGATGCTGTTTAATTGTGATGGTGTCACAGATGTGTAGGTATAACTTAAGAGACCTTTGAAGAACTTTAAACTAGGGATGCACCAATCCAGCTTTTTCCACTTCCAACATGATGAGGAATCCTTGGATTTAAAGGTTTTCCAATACAGAGTACCAATCTGATAACAGAGTTAATATGTCTCACTGTGAGAAAATGACTGAAAACCATCATTTTATCAGCAAACTTTAATGAAACAACTTTCATTCTAACTTGACTAAAAATAACAAATACATCAAAGGACAAATTCACTATACTACATGCCAAAGATGAATACTACAGAATTTAAAAATAAAATAAAATACATTAGCATTATCTGTTTAATTTATTTGTACTAGTCTGATTTCAGCCCACAGTGAAACCAACATCCCTCCAGCTCCTAGCTTACCTGATGTCTCTGACAGAACATAATCAAAGGAAAGTAAATAAGAGTACCTGAATAAAAGTAAATATGAGAGAGAAGCCAACGCATCGATCCTGTCCAAGCGCTTAGATGTTAGCTTCTTCCGTGCACAAAGAACTGCACAGGATCCAGATATCTGATTGGTGCATCCTGAATTTAAACATGACATCTGAAAAGCAGTTTAAAGACTTTTCTATACATTTCAGCAACACAACTGCATTCTTACATATTGGCCAGTTTTGATTTTAGTCACAATAAACTAAAGGCCTTTGACTCAAGTTCCTCAGACATGGATTAAGTTGTAGTCTTGGACTAAATGTGTTTTTTTCAATGCTTCAGTGAATGTTTCTCTTATTTTAGGACTAAGCTTAATTCATTTGTGGGAAACTGACTGAATATTCTTAACACTAGCTTTGGGGTGAGGGGCACGAAGGGTTAGCTGAGTGTGAGTGGGGTTAAGAAGAACAGATACCCCGAAGTAGTAAAATGATGTTAGAAGGTCTACTGGCTGAAAGATAAGCACAGCAAAGAAAAACTTTAATGCCAGCTCAGCCAAGATTAATTAAGGAAGAGATTTTAGGGTTTCTGCAGATAGTCGATGGTGTGATGAGTGAATATGCTTAAAATGGATAGGAACATTGCTGTGATCTTAGATGAATTACTATCTCCCAAAGGTAGAAACCAAACAACAAAGCAAACACAATTATCTCCACTGATTAAATATTATAGGAAACTTTGATAGGGTTTGCAAGATTAAAGAACCAAATCAAAAGATTGAGCCCATGGATTTTGGTACAAATTTCTGCCCCAGTTCTTTCATTCCTAGCTTTGGGATGCAACTAATACTGGATGCTAGGACGTTTTCTAATATTACAAGGTAAAATGAAGCATTAAAATAACATATGAACAGGTCAGAGTGGATATGTTCAGAGGATTTATGGTGGGGCAGGTTTGAATATAGATAGATATGAAGATGATGGGACAGACAGAAAGAAAAAAAGGAAGGAAGGAAGAAGGGAGGGAGGAAAGGAAGGGCGTATTAAGAAGAGTAATCAGCAGCAAAATCTTAGAGTCTGACTGCTCATACTGTGTTATAACTTTAACAGACATGCTCAAAGCAATTTATTACTACAGTGGTATTTTAGCTGAGTGTTTTACACAATGAGGGTGCCTTCAGACCAAAAAAAATAATGCTTTGAAAATTAAATGCTGTAGAAAGACACCTCCAAACTACACATGGGAAACAGTATGGGCTTTCAGTTTAACACTCTACTCTTCACTTGTTAAAACTGGCTAAGATATGACTGGCCTCTTTCACTCGCTCCCTCTTTTTCTATTCATCATACATACTCAAGCAACAAAGGCTCATCCCACACAAACAGACCCACTACTCTTTTTTTCCCCCTCCCACACACACAAAGCATTAGTGTAAAACTTGAGCAAGAGTCAGTTAACATTAGTAAATGTGTCTTATATAACTGAGCCTATTGCGATAAGAAGCAGATGTAGTATCAATGTGGGCACTGAATTTATTTTCCCACCACGTCACTTTAGCTTCCGCATGAGTTTACTAGTTTTATTGTATCTATTTTTATTTTACTGAATTATTATGTGTGCTGATGTTTATTCATCAGCACACTAATGGCTCATAATTCGACAGACATCCCAGTCTAAAGCATCCTCATAATTTCTGCCTTGGAAAATTTAAAACAATCAAAGAATGATTTCTAGTTTTTTATGCAGTTTTTTATGCAGTTTGTTTGTTTTTTTACTTCTGATCTAGTCTTGGTTTTTAAGTGTTTTTGTAGTCAACTGTAATAGCCTTAGGGCACTTACCACAAACATGCAAGTAGGGTGTGTTTTTGATGCTTTTGGGTGTGTTCTGCTATGAAACTTTAAGGCTATGGTCAAAAAATGTCAGTTTTGCTTAGTTTAATTTGTAACTGCACAAAGTGAGCAGGAGGCACCTGCATGACAGCCATAAAAAGAGCTGGGGAGATTCTGATCCTCTAAATATGAAGGAAAGGAGATCAGCATGTCCCTTGTCACCTCCTTTTAGCAGAGGATAAAGCATCCTGTATCAAAGGAAAAGAGATAATACCATGCCATAACTCATAGCAATGCACTATCCAGCAATCAATCATTATGATTGTGAAACAAAGCTGATGGGGTAAACATTAATTAAGTTTGTTTTTCTTTTAATTTGATAACCTCCTGATATGTTATCAGTCGTGTTATACCAACAAGGAAAATGATCAAAAGCAGCCTGTTGTGATAAAATCTGCTTCAAGGAGCTCTATGCATTTTTAGCATGTTCAAATCTTTACAGTTAACTGAAGGGTTGCCATAATTCATTTTTACATCATTTCTGTCCAATACTGCATTTTCAGCCTTAAGGTTCTTAAGGTTCAGGCTCAGAAAACTTTAATAAAGGCAGGAGTTACACTGGGCCATCTCTCCAGCAGTGTCAATTCAATGAGACACTTCATTTCACTCTATAAGCCATTTATTCCTATGTATTGAACACTGAAAAGCAAAGGGGGGCAAAGTATCTCAGATAAGGTTCTTGTAATTCATCTTTGGGATATTATACTGTCACCACACCAGACCACATCAAGTTATTAAGGAGATTTTATAAACGCAGCCAGATTCTCTTCTCTTTCCCTAACTCCTTATAAATTATCTTTCAGGAGAGGGCTAAAGCCCTTTTCTCAAGGTGATCAGGAAAATGCAGCCCTGAAATTTTTCTATACAGACCCCAATTTCCTCAAGAGGCTTTACTTTTTCCAAGCTGCCATTTAACCAGATGAATAAGAAAAAATTTTAATAACTTGCCTGGTTAAATAAATGGCAGGTAAAAACTGATATTATGTGAAAGTAAGGCTTTACCCTAGCTTAGTTTCAGCTGATATCTCTCTATCACAACACACAGCCGTTTTTGACATGAAGTCATGCTGACGGTTTCTAAATGATCTCTTGATAGCTTTATTTACCTTTGTGTTTTTTAGCTCCTTTTAAATACATAATTTTGCATTACGTGCCTTTAAAGATTAACATTAACCCATGAAAAGCTTATTGGACAGATGTCAAACTGCATAGCATTTATGCGGTCAAGCAAAACGCCTGCTGGATACAGCTAGGGTGCAAATGAAACCATTCGTTTATCATTGACCAGCATATATATAAAAAATTAGATTCTGGTTGTATCATAAATATTTGTTCGGTAATCAGTTGAAAATAACAACCGAACGTCCAATTAACCGACTTTACTCGTTACTTTCGCTTCATTTTTTTCACAATTAGTGTACCCAGCTAAACTAGGTACCTGCCAGCTAGGTCTGAAAAAAGCATCGAGTTCGGTTATGTATGTCAGTGACTGGGGTGAACTAACAGGCTGCCTGCAGCTGGAGTTTGGCGTTTTAGCTCTTGGTGGAGGGGAGACGACGCCCGACTCCTAGCTTTATTAGCAGTTAGCTTAACTAGCAGCCGCCGCCATTATAGCGGCCAACGACGGCAGCTAGCTTCCACCACTAACGCAGGCCCAGGGATTTAAGAGGCTTGTTTGGCTGTTTCGGTTCTTTTTGTTTATCGCGCTACCCATTACAATCAACTCCCATTTTGATTAATCTAACCGAAAATCAGTTCACGTCGTAAATCCAATGGCCAGCTTTACCGCAAGCTAACGTGACAGCTAGTGGCTAGCTGTGCCCACAACCTGCTTCCAGGGATACCAAAGGGATAACGTAAGTGTCGTTTGACGCACATAAACACGCAGTTAGTAAAATAATAATAATGCCTAATGTCTAAAATGAGACCTAAAAGTCTTCTAACTGCTCATGCCGTGAGAGTAGCAATCAGTGCTAGCTAATCCCATTTATCTCCCTGATGTTAATTTGGGATGTCCGTAAAAAAAAAATCTGTTCAAAGACTTGTATGCGATCAATGGGGGGCACAGCCTTGCGTGTGTGTGCGAACCTTTTTAATATTGTAAACACGGGTCAGCATCCCGATGCCTCTGTCGTTGAGGATGGTGAGTTTTTCTGCCAGTTTCTGCTGGCTGGGCTGGATCACTCCCCGAGACATCTTCTCCTCGCTGTTCGCCTAAATCTCCAAAGCAATCCAGTAAAAATTCCACAAATCTCCGCAGTCTTGTTCCGTAAAAATAGGGAAGAAATGGAAACTGTGATTTATGTCGTTATTAGATTAAATTTCGCCCATGTTCAACCAGCTTCCTGTACTCCACCCCACCGTCTCCCTGCCTGTTTTTCTTTTTTTTTTTCGTTCCCTGGATGAGGAGTTGTCCTGGTTTTCACAACGAGGCTGGCTAATGCTGCGTTCACAGACCCTCGTTAATTTTTTTATTTTAAAGACTTGGCGTATACTTCCAGATGATGCTAAGATTTGTTTTTATAACAGAAGTTGGCAAATTCATTTGGTACACCACCTAAACATTAACAGCTCATAACAAAGTAGTTTAAATAAGTAGAATAGGGGTCTGTCACATCAACCATCTGTATGTTCCCTTCCCTGGGATCTTCCTTTTCTTCTTATCTTATCTTCAACATCCTTTTTCCATTATATCCACTACTCCTCCTCTGTACATATCAAAACCATCTCATCCTTGCCTTTCTAACTTTGTCTCCAAACCCTTCAACCAGAGCTGTCCCTGAGATGTACTCGTTTAAAAAAAATAAATAAATAAATCCTGATCATCCTGGTCACACCCAATGAAAATCTTAGCATCTTCAACTCTGCCACCTCCAGCTCAACCTCCTGTCCTTTCTGTTTGTGCCATCATCTCCTAATCATATGTCATAGCAGGTTTCACTATCACTACCTCTGCTCATTGCAGCTATTAAAAAATAAGTAGAAGAGTATATGACTCAATAAAACCAAATAGAATATGACAGGGCAAAAAAAAAAAATAAGATGAAAAATAGTTCAAAATCAAAATAAATGCAATAAACAGAGATAAAAAAAAAATTAAGTAGAAGTATAATTTTCTAGCAGTCAAACCGGGCCTTTAAAAATCTAACAAATTTACTATTTTATTTTGAGCATTTGAACGTATCACATTGTGACGTAGCTTCCGATTCAGCTGTCAGTCGCAGGAGCTTACTTTCTCACAGATTGTTTCGTTTTTTAATTTTTTTTTTTATCTTGTATTAAAAAAATAAAGCTGTGATAATGTGAGATTCTACTGCAGCGATGGCATAAAGCCCTTTTAAAGCAACAGCGGTCTAATCTTTTGCGGAAATTTGATTGAATCCAGTCCATTTAAACCAGGTTAGTGCAAAAGTAGAGAAACTAACGTGTGATGTGTTTACATTCAGACATCAGCTTCACTTGTTACAGACATCAGTGCCTTCCTTTTTCAGCTTAACATTTTTTGTGGCATACACAGTTTTAGCCCAGTTTGTGTAACTATACATTACCAGTACTTAACAAATCAATTACAAACTTAATGCTTCAGCTAAATATACGTTTGCATGTTTCAGGCCAGTCTTGTAAACTTTGTTGAGATGCATTCACTGGCTCAGGAGATCCACGGCTTCGCGAAAGACCGACTGAAGAAACAGTGCACGCGTGTTACCACAGTGACAGGCAAAAAGCTGCTGGAGAGGAGGAGTGATGGAGGAGAGGGAGATGTGGAGCTTGTTGAAGAGCTGGAGGATGGAAATGGGTGTGGATTTGTAGAAGATAACAGCCTGGACCTCCAAGTTGGTGTCGTCAGACCGTTCCTCCTGCTGGGTAATCTCTGTAGCACCATTCTTACAAATGCTTTTTTTTTTTTCAGTGCTAATCCCACCACATGATTGCACTATTCTAGAACCAGATCGATATATCTATTGGGCATTATTAGCAGTTGACCTATTGGCCTATCACACGTATATATCTGCATATAGATTGTCTGATATGCACCAATATTTTCACAAAACATAACACAAAAATCTCTCATCGCTGTCTGTTGATTACACAGAGTGTCAGCAGTTTTGCATTTTGAATATTAAAGCATGCAAATCTATTTTAGTAACCCTCAACAGAAAACAGTGAATCTGGGAATATGCATAGGTTCAACAGAAATTGACACAGTATCTGGGTCTAACAAGTAAAGTAGCTGCAGAAGTGTTGTAAACCTGTATTCTTTCTCATGGCTGGCAGGGGGCAAAAATAATTCAAGTTGTCTAGAAGTCTATGGAAAAACAGCCCTACTTCTCACTTTTTCTGTAAGCTCAGTAAACCCTTTCCTGATGGGTTTGTGGTCTCAGTCGCTAGGTTCAAGACTCATTTAACAGAGCATGATGGTCATTTTCTAAATTGTCATCCAGTTTAGCGTAAAATTAGTGATAAAACAGGGTATGTGGCTATCTTGTGATTTGTAAGTCAATATCCTGTCAAGCATAATTGCTCAGTTTTCTCAGTCGATTTCACCTATTGGCTTCTGAGTCTTAAAAGAGTCTAGTGTGGTGCGCCGGTTGAGATCGCTGGAACGAGCAGGCGACCATATGCCACAAGGCTGAGAGCGGATGACCCGGGTTCGAGTCCAACCTGCGGCCCTTTGCCGCATGTCTTCCCCTCTCTCTTCCCTCCACTTTCCTGTCAGTCTTCACTGGCCCTATCAAAGCTAAAGCCTTAAAAAAATCAAGACAGAATGGCCCTGGTCAGATGGTGGATTCAAACCAGGACCTCCTTGCTGTGAGGCTAACCTGTGTAAAACAACATAGTTAAAGTAAAACCATCACAGGCGCATAGTAAGGGCCTTCAGCTGTGCAAACATTTATACATATATAAAGCGTTCTTTAGGGCAGCGGGGTTGAATAACTCTGAGTCACGTGGCTCTGTTGTAACTGACAAGTTATTGTATGAGCATGCAGCGTCCCTCAGTTTTCACACGTGAACAAACAATTTGAGGAGAATAAGCGCCAGAAATTTTCCACGCTTCTCCTTTGTCACGTCTAACACTTGGGAGAAAATAGTCCACTTCAGAAGCATATGCACTGCCGGAAGTACTCTGTGTACTTTACATGAAGAAGCTGCCTGGACAGAGCATGCAGGATGCATGTCACCCACTCTCTAATGGTACATTTACTGGAATATTAGCCATGCTTTTCACACAGTGATACAACTGGACAGCACACAGGCTTTTCATAGCAGGATTCAATATACAGTAAATGGTATAACATGGACAGAAATAAGAAGTTGATGTGATTTTGCCCCAAAACAAGATTTTAAAAAGCTTTTTTTTTTCACATGGACATTTTACCTCTACCACCATCTTTACTGTTGCTGAACCTTCCCACAGATTTAAATTCAGGACTCTTATAATGTCTCTGTGCAGATCCAGTTACTGTGGCAATGACTTAACATTATTAATTCCTAATAATGGATAAATCATTGTTGTTAATTTTCAATTTGTCCAAAGATAAATGTTGACTTGCCCGTTTAGCTGGAGGATGCAGCTTTCCACATGTCAGCATGCATCCATCCTGAAGCGTCCTTGAGCTTGACATTGAATTCCCACCCTGCTCTGAGGTGCTGTTCACATCTGTAACTAACGCTGCGCTTTGACCTCACTGCGAGAAACAATCGACGAGAGAGTTTCTCAGCAGGGATCAATAAAATATTACATCTGTCTGGCTCAACAGAGGTGACTCTCTTCCATACAGTGATCCATGCGCTTCAAACATTAAAACCTGTTTTCATTCCCCAAAGTACCTCAGTGGTCACATCAACCTGTTATCACACTGTACAGGATGATAGGGCATGTGTTAATAGTTCTCTGATATTTTTGTAACTGCCTGTGAGAGTATCTCTGTTTTTTTCAGTGCTCTTGTGACAGATTTTCATTGTATATTCTGTAAATAGAGTACAGTACAGCTCTGTCAGGCTGGAGGCGAGTTCCTCTCTGAAGGCTTTGTGCAGACTCCCTCAGTTGTCTTTGGCGTGATCCTGTGATATTGCTAATATTTATAATGTGTTGCTGTCCTCTGGCTACAATCCACTGACAGTTATTATATTTTGACATACACATAGATATCATCCAATTTAAACCAGCTCCTATATCTCCACAATATCAGTTAAAAAAGTAAACAAAAAAAACGTTTTACGATTTTATATTTCTTGCAGAGTGTCAGGTCATGGAAATGACATTCATTCCCCCTTTTAGATGCATTTAATATGAAGCTATAGCCAAAGAAGAGTCATAGTATAATAGTATGCCTGGCAACATTCTAAAATTAAAATAAACTACCTACTAAAAGTCTTTCAAAGCGTTCCAACTTATAGGTTTGCGTGTTTTTCATTTAACCCAAATGTCTCTAGTGCTGTAGAAAGTTTGTTGAGCTTCTATTTTTAACGTGTAGAAAGGCTGACGGCATCCCCCTGTTTCCAGTCTAGCTATGTGCTGGTGCTTAATATTTTTGATCTTTCAAGCAAATGCAATGTTGAACTGATTTGTGTTTGACTGAAGGTAATAAAACATAGGAAGTATCTCATATGAGCAACTTTGGAATCTTGAAACAGAACATTTTACTTTAAATAATTCAATAAATGCAATTTATTATTCTCATTTTTATTAGTAGTAGTAGTATTACAGCCACTGGCTTAAACTAACATTATTTTCCTTTGACCGTGGCCTTGAACATCTTTTGAAAAGAAACGCCCAAAAAAGTCTTCAAGAAAAATCCCTCACACACATGCTGTAGGAGAAATTCCCTTACTTTATCTGGAGACCTAAAAATGACCGTGTGTAGTGCATCTGATCTATGGAGGCAAAGATTGTTCCTCTTCTAGTTTTTAAGAGACAGGATGGAGATAAAAATATAAAAAATAGCAATCGATTAAGACACATTTTTTCCAAATCTCATTATTTTTAGAATAAAAATGGACTCTTTTTTCCCCATTATTGATTCAAATGCATCTACAACAACATCTGCAGGCAAGAGCAGAGAAGTTATTCTCTGTGTGTGTGCGGGGTATTCATTGGGATGATCTGCAGTTTTTTTCATGGTACATGTCGCTTTAAGGGAGGATTCTCCCTCACCAATTAAAAACACAGATACAATTTTCACTGATAAGCAGCAACATGTAATAATGATATACAAAAAGAACTAAATGGAAATGCAGTGAAAATCAATAGAAGAAGTATCGACTTAATTTAAAGGTTTTGGGGCAAAGTCTGCCAACTAAAAAATGAAAGTGGCAAAACCTCAGTCACACAGGCCTGGAGACCAGTTGGTGACACTCTGGCACCCTCAGTTGCTACGGGGGAAATGTACAGTGATGAAAGAAAGTATTTCTCTCCTTCCTGACTTCCTTGTTTTTTGTCATATTTGTCACACTAGAATGTTTCAGGCCATTAAACAAATTTTAATATTAGACACTGATAACCCGAGTAAATACAAAATACATTTTTTTCAATGATGATTTCATTTATTGCAGGTCTGGGCTCTTTTGTGACCTCCTGGATGAGTTGTGGGCGCGTTCTTGTTGTAATCTTCATAGGCCGACTTCTCCTGGGAAGGTTCACCATCAGTTTTCTCCTTGAAATGGCTTTGTCACCCGTTCCAGACTGATAGATCACTTTGGTTCTCATCTGTTCTCGAGTTTCTTTAGCCAGTGGCATGTTGTGTTGCTTTGGGTTCACAGACAACTCTCTAGGTCTGCATAAATGAGGCTTTAGCGATTGATTTTGCAGTAGTGGCCAAAAACCAGCTGGCAGATAATCGTGCATTACACATTTTAACCTCGCAACTGGCGGTTTTCAACTTACCTCTAAGGTTATATGACTGGGGCCTAACTTTAATGTGTCTTCATCCCCTGTGCAGTAATTGTTACAACAGAAACAGTAACAACTAAACGCTGTTTTTGAACCCTCTCATGTTGGGGAGCTCTCTCCATTAATTTGATACTCACTTTTATTTTACTTTTGGTTTCTGGGATTCTACCACTTCACCTTATGCCTTCCCTTTTAACAACAGAGCTCGTTTTCTTTTGGCGGATTGTATCCACCGTTACTTTGTTTCCACTTTCCACCATGTCAGCTACGTGGGGAAAACTACAGGAAATAAAAGTGCTTTCCTCTTCTCGGTGAGAGCCAGTCTAATTGTTGACCACATTAATATTCAGTTGGCTATTATACTGTGCAATAATAATAATTTATTATAAGTTAAAGCAAAAACATGTCTACCTCTGCTTTAATAACACCAGCACATTGAGTCTATTGATTTTTTAATAACATCTGCCACACACCACTAAAAATATGATGGACATCTGTCTACTCTTCTTTAGCAGACTCGCTGAACAAGGTCCCCCGTCAGACTCTTATTTAAAAAGTGCTCTAAAAATCCTGGCATCCTTTCACAGATGTGTCACTGTAAATCGTCTCCTTCTATACTGATGAGACATATGGGCCGGAGCAGGCTTATTTCCAAACACACGCTCAATCCTTTGGCTTTAGATGTGCATCTCAGCACCATGAGTTTGGCATTACGTAAAAGTGGATTGGCTAATGCAAAGAGTGCAAATGTTGCTACTTTGAAGACAGTAAGCTGAGAATCCACCCTGGAAAGTCTGGAGCAAGTGCTTCCATCATATTCTGCTTCCTGCCCATATGTCTCCCTCACATAATTACCCAGCTCCTGCTACTCAAGACTTCCATTGCTGTCTTCATGAGGAGTTATTTGACAAATGGAAAGAGATCATTGCTCCATTTTAACTGTCTCCCTGCGTGATTTCCTTTCTCAGTTGAAACTGGAGTGCTGCTGCTTTTTTGTTTTTTACTTTATTGCCTGCAAAACAATAAGCATGGTCAAGGATATTGCAGAGACACAAAACAAATACAAAACAAACAAGACTGAATCATTATATCTATACCTGCTTGTGTCCCACAATGTCTGACCAGGGGGTTGCATCAGAAGAGGTGGGAAGGTGGTGGAAAAAATGCCAAAGTAATCATTCTTACCACCTCCATCACGGCTACAAGTAATGATAATAAATCAGTCGGGGTAAGTAGTGTGTTGGTCCCTGCCACTGGCAGAGAGGCAGGGACAGGGCACCGCCTGGAGCTCTAGAATGCCAAGGGCGGCGGAATATCTTTTTTTAATTAAAGATTATCTTTATTAAAATCACCCCTGTGTGATTAACACCATATTTTCCACTTGCTGTCATTTGTGTGGAGATATTTTAATTTATTCTCTCTGATTTTGGTCCTTTTTGAATCAACTTCAGAGCTCCATAGGAAGAGGCTGGCCCAGGGGGTTTGCTCCCTTTCAAAACCAGACCCTGAGGAATGAGCCAGTTTAGTAGGGACAGAATTCTTTCACTGCCTTCACTTCAGCAGGTTTTGTAAGTGTTCCTCATAAAGGCTTCCCTCATATGCTGATTGTCTGATTTGGTTTGCTTTAGAAAGCTAGTTGTGATTTCTTTCTTGCTTTGGTCTTAGTTCACCCTGGAGTAATTTGCTTTCAGTTATTCTCACATCCTTCTTATGCACGTCAGTGGAATGTTCACTGGTTAAAAGAATGACTTGTCCTGGAAAGGGTAAAGCCACTGCCTTGATCACTACCCTTTCCTCGGCTCCAGCTCTGTGAACATCCTACCTGCCCCTTCTCCTACAGTTCCTCTGACCATGATGAAAAATGTATGCATGACAATTTACAAAACTCAGAAATGGCACTACAAAAATATTCTTTAAATGAATGTGTGTATTTCCTGTGGCATACGCAAAGGAACAAAGAAGCAACACCACCACAAACACAAAGTAGCCCACATGTCACATACATGCATGTGCTATCACCACTGGTAAAGATAGGGCCACTAGTGACGTGTAAACTGACTACATTTACTCAAGTACTTTACAGTACTTGTATTTCCAGGTCATTCTACTTAACAGTTTTTGGATGCAAATACTGTTTTTGTTCTTCATACCATTACTTTCAAGCTTTAAATAATTACTATTTTGCTCATTTTAAACTATAAATCTGCTGCTATACAATTCTCTGTTATTATAGTTGAAAGTTTCAGGCAATATACAGTAATTAATATACATACATAGTAATTAAAATCTTCTCCTACTGCAACATTAAAGTAATATACACATTAATGAATCCATTACCATGATATACAAATAAAGTAATGCAAACAGTCACAGTACATACATTGTATGTGATTACCAAAACTTTTGTAGTATTCCATTTACTTATGTAAAGTATCTAAATATTTGGTTTCCCAATTAGCAAAATGGGTTTCAATGCTTTTCAATTATCAGCCTTGCTCACTGTGTTATTTTGCATGTAACTCCATATGGATGACTCCACAGCGCTGCTTATAAGCTTAAATATACGCAGTGATTTCTTGACCGGTGTTCTGTTTCTCACTAAATATTCAAATGTCCCGTGATCCACCCTGACTTGTTCTCAGTCCCTCTCTGTGTTCAGTTGATGAGCATGATCAGTTCCATTTATTTTAGATACAGTAAGGTGATTTAGGTGGGGACAAGTGAGCAGCAGCTATAATAAAGTAACAATTAAAAGGGTTTGTGAGTGGGAGAGTGATAGGGAATATATATCTGCTAATTTATGTATATGTATATAATAATAATAATAATAATAATAATAATGACAATGATAGTAATGATAATAATGCAGTTTTCCACCTACACTCTATGCTGCATTATTTCTTTTCAAATTTTGCTGATGAAGGTTTATTGTCATGAAATTGTCTCTTCTCGCAAAAAGAATCATGCACTTCCTTCTCTGCAGTGACAGATAACTCTGAATAACTACTGTATTTCAGCAGTTTTTAAGCCTAGTCGAGTGTGACTACATACACAAATCATCTGATTCCTATCCCAGATTTCTTCTGTAGCTTTAAGCCGTTTTGCTCTTGGTTTTTGCTGACTGATATCTTCCCCGCTTGGTATTGCGGCTGTTCAAAAAGGGTTTTGTGTCTGCATGTTTTCTTATGAAGTGATATTGTTGCTGATATCCTTCAGCTTTTGCTTTCCCTGCAAAACTTGGCACCGCTTTAAAACATCCTCATATCGATAGGGTCAAAGGTGTCCTTTTCATGAGATAGTTGCTGTTTCCTGGTCTGTTTGATCATCTGTAATCTATTAAATGCCAGGAAATACCTTGCCTTGTTTCCCCACAACCCAAAGTCACTTCTTTAGATCATTCAGTCACAGTGTCTGGCATTGCTTTTAGTTGTGAAAATTCAAGTTTTACTCAAAAAAGCAGCACCCCAGTAAAGAACTATGACCAAATGGTACATTTTACTTCTCAGAGGTGTAAATAAACACGGTGTGCTGAAAATATTTCTATTATTAAATTGGTTTAAGCAGTTTTACGGCTGAGGAATTATCATCATGCTACAGGAAGCTTTATTTAAACACACTTGGTAGGCAGATGCATGCCCCATCTGTCTGCCTTCTTATCGAGTTGTTTCTGTCTTTTCAGGCTCTCAGGATGCAGCCCACGACATTGACACCCTGCAGAGATATAAGGTCAGTGCAGAGGGATCAATAGGGCGGGCATGCCCTTGCTTTGTTGTGATAGCATGTGTAGTGACATGAGATTAGAGGCAGCTATGTAGCTGAGCTTTCCTGTGGGTCAGCAGCAGCCAGCGAATAGCCAGAGGAGCTTCATGACTCATGCAGTGACAGTTTAGCACAGTAGAGGGAGTAAATGATTACAGTAAGTCTCAGCGCTGCTCCTCCACATCAGTGAAATGTGACTAGTCCTTCTCTGCAGTGGCTGCTCCCAGGCATGGGCATATTGCTGCCTGTGCACTCTCAGGATGATGAATTGGAGAGATTACAAATACCTTCACTTCCTGTTTCTAGGATGAAACCTTGGCTGTCTAAATTCAGGTTTTCTTAGATAGCTATTAAACTCAGGAGATTTGACAGCCTGCCCAAAGGCACTTTATAAAAACCTGCTCTTACCAGTAGAACAATGCCTTTAAACACTGCAGTGGAGTATTTTGTTGGTAAATCTCACATTGAGACTGGCAGAATGTCAGATCTACTCACTCTAAAACGGACATATTATAGATATCATGCTACAGAGAGTAGAACGTCCATTTCCCAACCCAGCAAGAATATACTGGAAAGCAGATTTGGTTAAAAAGTGAAAGGTGAAGAGTAGTCTTATTTTTAGAACTCCTATGGACAATCATGAAACAACCTACAGATTCCTACTTTTAGCCAGGAGGCAGCTTTGCAAACCATCCATTACCCAGTTAGAACCCTAAGTCACACGTTGATGTATATAAATGACAGAAGCGTGTTTTGTCAAACTATTGCCATCCTTCAATAGTTTGTCTGTCTGTACTAGATGCTGGGTTGATCAAATATCAATAAAACTAAAGACACACTCTAAAAATGTCATATTTTGATGTAATGTGTTTTTAAAGGCCTAGTTGCTCCAGGCAGGTTTAGCCAAAGAAAACAGCACCCAGTAGACGTCTGGTGCTTGGTTGGTTTCCTGTAGTCATGGTTTTGATAGTGATCAACTCTCTGGTTGTCTGGCTTATTGCAGGCACATTTTCTACTGCTTGAAGTCTAACTGCATTTGCCTTCCTATTCACTTTTCCATCTACAAAAACCTCCCACGTGGATGTCAAAAGCCAGACATTTAGCATGCAGACATAATTCTATTATTTATCATCATTGTGCCGTATGTCATTTTCTTTATTTTGAAAATCCACTGTAGGCAGCAACTACATTAACTGTGGTTTGTCAAAAGTGCATTTTATCCACCAAGGAATATCTGTAATAATGAAAAAATTATTGTTATCTAATCGGAACATACAGGGATATTTTAAAAGCTCAATCAATTAACAAGGTAAAAATGTTTCTTTTTACCTTGTGTGGCAAGACTCAAAACTTCTCTAAAACGAGGCTCACTTTCACTTTTAGCCAACATTACTTAAATAGGAGGAATAAGTACATCTGTTGGGACTATTTACAGCTACAGATTTATATATATTAAGTGTGGAAGTATTTACTGTAGCAGCAGGACAGAAAATAAACCACACTGTGTGTGTTTGATATGTTTTTAATACTTTTTAGGCAATAATATAGCTCTGTGGCATACTGGAATGAGATTTATCAGACTTTGATACACACACAATACTTCCGAGAAGGATCATTTCACTGTTGATTTTGGCCTTTAATGGGATTTGTTGTCAATAATAAAAAATATAGTGTAACGCCTAACTTGTCTCTTAACGCGGAAGAGGATGTTAGATGATACAAGTAGTCTAAAAGCAGAGCACATTAGTGCGACGCTGAGATGTAACGGAGGAGAGAATTTAGCCCTCTGAGGTAAGCTAAATTTAAGTGAGAGTAGACAGATACTGCAAAATGAATTGGAGCCATCTGTCTTCTTCCCTGCCTACACTCGCTCCCTCTTGCTTTCCTCACCCTTTCCTCTCCATCTCTCTCCCCTTTCCTTCTTTCTCCCTGTGCCTCTGCCCTCTCTCAGTCACATTCAGCTTGTGTCATGTCATCAATATGGCTGACAGAATATCTCTCTTACTCTTCTGTCAAGGCAAAAAGAGCTTTTAAAGCAAGTCAATGCTCAGGGGTCATTTGCTCAAGGAGTTTCATGTCTCTGCACCCACTCCCTCTTCCCCATGTCCCCTCTGTCAGGTATCTCATGTGCTAAATGTTGCATATGGAGTCGATAACCTGTTCCCAGATAAGATGGTCTATAAGACGCTCCAGATCCTGGACCTCCCAGAAACCGAGATCACTTCCTACTTCGAGGAGTGCAGCTCCTTCATAGATCAGACTCGGGAACAGGTACGTACACACAGTTAGAATAAAGTCATCCACTTCTATACGTGGATGGCAGTTATGGCGGCAGAGTTCTGCAGAGATGATGTTCTTTGCAGGCCAACCCAGAGGCTGGCATTGCTTTGGCTCAACTGACTATCCATAAACTTATGATTATTACAGAAATAAGCCCTATGGGATGTAAAGTTTTTGACACTTACACTTTGTGTTCAGCAAGATGAACTCCACAAATTTCTCCAATATCTTTTTGAAGCATAAAATGCAATCGCAAGACATGAAAGACTGATGTTAGGCTAAAAGGCGTGACATTAATGCATTTAATGTCATGCTTTTAATAACTTTAAATGTCTGCAGCCTTTATTATCAACAAACTTTATATCAGACATCTAACCAAAAATCCCTTTTAAGAAAACTTAAGAAAGCTGTTGTTTTTTATCAATACGGATATGCATTTTCTTTCATGTGAATTTACAACTTTAATCTAGATCTAAAATCTGAGTTATTCTGGGAATATTACCCCTACTCCCCTTGCCCCTTAATTCTTTATTTTCTTTTCCATAAGTGGGCCAAGGCGGGAGGGCTGGTGAATGTCAACAGGATCACAGATACCTGTGTATCTGCAGAGTGGTCACAGTGCCCACCCATGCTTCTCGTTGTCCATCACCAACGATGCCTGCAGTGAACACAAGAGCATCAGAACTGGGCCATGGAATAAATGACGTTGGGCTAATTTTCTTCCCAGAGACTAAAAAAAGCAAGCAATATTTAAACCAGCTTTTCCCAAACATGCTACTTTTATTTTGACAGCTTACATTATTTTACTTCCTCACACAAACAAAATGGTTTCTAATGATGATGTTAATAGTCAATTGTGTATCCTTTTTTGCTTCAACGAGTGTCGCACATCATCAGCTTTCCCTACCCATTTTTCTTTGGCCAATATCTCAAGCTTCTTCAGATTTGATGGTCTTCTGGCATGGACATTGGTCTTCAGTTTACCTCAACTATTTTCAGTGGGATACAAGTCAGGACTTTGTCAGTAGGATTCACCTTGGAGTTCATCAGGTGCATGTTTTGGGTAGATAATGTTGATTTCTGATTAAATTATTCCTAAATTGTGAAAAAACAACTTGGAAGATGAAGGCTGATGAACCAGACCCAATTTTTCTGCAGACTGCTTGAAGTTTCCTTTACAAATCTCCACATCTTCTTCTTTCTTTATGTTTTCTTCCATCTTGATGAGATTCCCAGTTCCAGATGCACTGAAGCATCCCCACAGCATAATACTTCCACCACCATATTTCACTGTGGGGACAGTGTTACTAGGGTCTTAAGCCTCTTCCTTCTTTCTCCAAACATAAGAGCTCTAGTTTCATCTCATCGGACTAAAGGGCGCGCTTCCAGTGAGCATAATCTTTCTCCGGGTTATCGTTAACATATTTCAGTCTGGCTTGAAGTGCAGAAGTGGAGTTTTGTTGGTCTGCTGCCTTGCAGTCTATTCCTGTGAAGGGTTCTAGTGATTGTCTTCTCTGTGACTACAATCCCTGATTTGCCTAAGTCATTCACTAGTCTTGGCAGTTGTTCTGGGGTCTTTAGACACATCTTTCACCAGTTTTCATTCTAGAGTCTTTGAAATATTTTGCTTCCTACCTCTGTCAGGCTTGTTCTGTACTTTGTGGCTGTCTTTGACTTTCGTGATGATACTTCTCACTCCTGTTTTTGGCACTTGGAAATGCTGTGATAACTTTGTATATCCATCTCCTCCTTTGTGAGCATCAATAATTCTTTTTCTCAAGTCTAAGCTGATTTCTTTTGTTTTTGGCAAGGTGCTTTCTCAAGTGACAACTCAAACCCTTGCTGAAGTTTTTATACTGCGAGTACAATGAAAGTTTTAACTTGATTTTAAAAGCTTTGAGCATTACAAAGTTCAATCACATCATTGCACAGCAGTGGTTTGTTCTATGGCTCAATAAAAAGGTCAGTTTATCAGGGGGGTAATAATATTCACCCTGGTATTTTTTGTTGTTGTAATTGTGTGAAAATAAAACTGATGTTTTCCAAGAACAATTAAAAAAAAATTAGTATGCTTAGAAATGCTGTATTGAAAATGCTCTGTTAAATGTTTTTGACAAGAACTTTAAATTTCATGTTACAGGACATCTTACCCACAATCAATTCCTGCTCATTAAAATAGCACAGTTCATTCGCACGTGCCTCAATGATGCAGCAATTGGTCGTCTATAGTTAGTACAAAACACTGCAGCAAAGCTCTTCACAAACCCATCGAACACATTACTCCAGTCCTCGCAGAATTACCCTGGCTTCCCATTCCTACAGAATCCAATTTAGGATTTTATTGATTGCTTTTAAACCACTACATGGTATGGCTCCACTTAATATCTCAGAACTCTTAACCCCCTGTTTCTGTGCCCGAACCCTTCGGATCAGAGAATCAATGGCTGCCACAGATTCCACGGTCCAGGCTTAAAATGAAGGGGATCCACATTGTTGCCGTTTTAGTTGCACCGCTGTTGAACGAGCTTCCTCTTATTATTAGATCAGATAATAAATAAGATTTATTATTTTAGCTTCTGTATTATCAAGTAGACGATCAGTCCGTGTGTGTTACCGCCTGCCTGGACACTGGTGTCTATGTACACCCCTTTTGCGACTCTTGTGGCCTCTCTGAGCTTGATATTGCAACTGTTCTGCAAACCTAAATTACAAATGATTTCAGGAACATGACAAAGCACCCATGGTGTCGACTTGGCTTTGCTATTTCCCAGGCCTCAAAACCCACCTTGCAACCTAGAGGAATTAAAGGATCTGCTGCTAATGTCTCAGTGCCTGACAGCTTCAGACGTCTGTGGAGTTCATGCCTTAACAGGTCAGAGCTGATTTGGCAGGCAGAGGGAACGATGCACAGTATTAAGCAGGTGGTTTTAATGTTGTGGCTGATTGGTACATATAAAGGACAAACTTGTCAGCTTTTATGGTTTTGCCAGATTAAATGAAAATGAAAAACAACACCAACATAAAAAAAGAAAATCTGATCTATTTAAAAACTCCTGCATCTACCTTCCCTGAGGAGATTCATGCAGCCTGAAAATGCCTTCCTTCATATCTGCTGGCTAATTTCACATGTCAGTGTGCACACACAGCTATTCTGCTGCCTCACTGTGATGCATTTACACACATCTACAGGAGGCAGTTATCTGCAACTCAGCACAAAGGTGAGGTAGCAGGCCTGATTACCTTTTAAAAGCTTATGCTGGGGTCATCTAATGTAGTCTGCAAAGTAACATTTTCTGTGCTTTAACTCAATTTTCTCCTCAGTGATTTTACATGTTGTATGAAATACTTTTTAAGGGATTATTTCCTGGCACAGACTTGCATCTCTTTCTGCTTGTGTGTGTGTGTGTGTGTGTGTGTGTGTGTGTGTATTGACCGTAAGCAGAACATAATGTGATGTGAGCGCTGATATGAAAACACTCAACTGGAGCGCAATGAAATAACAGCAAAACAAGAAACACTGACAAAACCAAATTAAGTCTCTGTGTTTGCTGTGATGGATTATGTAGCTCAGGCAATTTTCAGTCTGCAGAAGTTTTCTGTAGTTTTCTTTTGTAAAGAAGGAAAACAAGACCTAATATGTAACAATGCTGACTGAAGACACCAGCACAGATATTATAAGGGCAGATCAACCATTTTGAAAGATGGAAACTTATAAAAGAGAGGTCTTATACAGCACAATACAGATATTGTTCTGTGTGCACTTCAATAAATTGTATTTTTCCCAGTGGAACTGCTGGATATTGTTATATTTAAAAAAAAAAAAGAAAGCAGTCTGATAGCATGCCACTTGCAGCAAGATCATTTAAATATCCTCTTCTTCCTGGGTACTGATGGACAGTAAAAATCAAAACTGCACTCACACGTTCAGTTCCACTTAATTTCAGCCTGGAAAGAGACTTCATTCTGCGACGGGAGATTTCGCTGTGAATAAAAGAGACAAAAAAGTGTCAATACACTGAGCTTCAGAAGTGAGCCGTGGGCCTGCACGCAAGATGTGGCTAGACTTTTAAAAAATATTTCCAGCAAGGCACTTTAGGCAGTAAAATAATTACATCAACATTAATATGTATCACAGTGCAAATTTTTGACACATTCTCACACAGTCCCAGATGCAGATTTGCTCTCTCTCAACTCGCTCTACATCATCCGTCTAATGCTCCTTCAGGAATATTAAGAAATCAGAAAATAACAAAATACAAAATACAGTGAAATTTATCTTTAAGCTCTAATAAATAGCATAAAAACATATTTATTCACCTTTACTCACGACCGGTACGTGGCCACACAAAAAGCTCACTTTGTGCGCTAACATTAAGAGAAATCGTCGTATGAAAATCTTTTGTGAATCAAAGTTTTATTTATACCATTCAAATTCTTTTTAAAATTTTGTTTTAGTTGACAGATTTCTTCTTTAGAGACAAAGTGATCTTTGTGAACTTAGAGTCACCCTTGTACTTCAGTGTAATGCTTTTACTTAACTCTGTTTTACTGAAGTGGGAGTAGAAACCTCAGCCATACGGTCATGTGAAAAAGAAAGCATGTCTAAGAAAGCATATCTTTCATTTCTAAGGTTTCACATGTCAGGACATAATAAAAAATAATTAGATCCTTTGCAGAAGAATGATCTTGTTCATTGTGGAATAATGGACATAAAATTCTTTGGAAATGGCCTTAAAGCCCTTCCCAGATTGATGGGCAGCAACAGTTGCTTCTTTAACATCATTGCCGATGTCTGTCCTCCTTTGCATCAGGTTAACACACACACGAGAATGCTGCAGATGAAACGTGCATTTATAGAGGTGGTCACACTTTCTGATCATCAGTTCATCAGGTGCATCTGATTACCAGCAGCTGACTGCTATTCACCCTTTCCCAGGGAAGCTTAAAACCAAAGTGTACACCTCAACCCAATTGAAATGCTGTGACGGGACAAAGAACAAAATTGGGCCAAAATTGTTCCACAAAAAGTCCTAGAGAAAACAAATGGTGCTAAAGATGGTCTTAGTTTTTTGCACACTCCTGCATTTTGGCATCTGCATTGATTTTTGTTAAATGAATACAGTTTAAAATACTAAGTCTTGTTGTTCATATGAGATTGTTTGCCGCTGTCAGCAGGAGCTGACTGTGTCTTGAGTGAATAGTGGGACCCAATTGCAGACACGGAAGGAGACGGAACTGCGTTTCAAATAAAAGGCGAGCCGTTTATTCAGGCTGATTAAACATGAGTACAAAAATAAAGCAAAAAGCGAACAGGGGCAAAAACTAAAGTAAAACCTAAACTGGGGAAATTAAACTGTGGTAACTATAATTCAACTATAATAACTATGACAACAGATATGAACATGATTCTGACCAGGAACGTGCGAGAAACTGTGATGAGGGGGAAAAAAAACAAACAAAAAAAAACACAAGGACACAACCTGAGCAGAATCATGAAGTACACAGAACTTGATGTGACGTGATGGGAGCAAACACAGACAACCTGACAAACACTGAATGAAAACACACACACTAAATACACACAGGGGGTGTTAAGGGGAAGTGGAAACACATGAGGAAACAGCTGACACAAATTAACATAACAAAGTCACAGGGATAGAGTAAAACTAAACACATTGAACAAAGAAACACAAGACTTTCAAAATAAAACAGGAAACATAGAGAGACTTAGATATGACAACACAGGCTTGACAACATGAAACACGCGGACAAGAAACACATGACATACTGACACAGAAGACAAGAGTAGACTGGAAACCTAAACTAGAATAAGACTAAGAAGAATAAGAAATCAAAAATACAAAATAAACTGAAAATGCTCGGTCACAGACCCAGCACCTGACGTTGTTTCTACTTTTAAGACTTGCTAAGAAACAGATAATTGTTTTGAATAACTGTGTACTAGTTTTCATGGTTTCATGCCTTAAAGCTTCAAACTGATCTTGTAAATGGCTAAATGGTTGTTTGAAACTGACCAATTTTATGTTTAGAGTGTTATATATTTTCTTTAGTAATTTTAATTTACCATGAGGACAGGTTGTGATTGAAGTCGAGATGTGAAATCCTGACTTTTCTTAATGTTTACTGTGTCTGTTTTTGGTCTTACAGTCACATTCTCTTTCCACAGGGCGGTGTGGTGCTGGTCCACTGTAACGCTGGCGTGTCCCGCTCTTCCTCCATCGTGATTGGGTATCTGATGCTGAGGGAGGAGCTTTCATTTGATGATGCATACAGCCAGGTTAAGCTGGCGAGGCCATCGATTCGCCCAAACCCCGGCTTTTATCAGCAGTTACAGAAATACAAATCCTAAGGGTCTAAAAGTCTGTTTTTTGCTTTTAAAACTGTGTGACAAAATCAAAATTATAACTGGAGCACTAATGGGAAGTCTTTGCCCTGTGATAACATCACAAACATTTTTATGTGGGAACTATTTTCTTTCTACTCAATTACACTTGCCAACCATTTCACTTTCCAGGAGATAGTTTTCAGCTACTTCTAATGACGCTCATGCTTGTGACAGGGTGACGGGTGTCCTACTGTGTTGAGCAGGACTGTTAGCTAGCTGCATGCTTGTTTAGGTTGGCAGATGTAGAAAGCAAAAACAAGATAGTTCCTTTATAAAATGACATGGCCTGCCTAACCAGGCCAATATTTCTGGAACGAGACATCGCCTCTGAGTGTTTTAAGTCTTCATTAAAACACCATATGGCAACTGCCATTTAATTCCATTATAGTAAGAAACAGCAGACATTTCTGTAGTCAGTATCTCCCAAACTGTTTGACTCACACTAAAACAGTCTGAAAAGACAAATATGTCTACAGGGCAGAGGAAGAACATGAGCATTTGATTTTACATGCGGCTCCCCTTGAAACATTGCAGTTTTGATTTTTATGTAAATGAATCTGCCAATAAGTAATAAACATTTGCATGCCTAGTGCTAGTAAGTGTGTTATTTTTAAACTTCAGCATTGTCTCTTTGTAATACAGTTGAAAAAATATGGTTAAAGCTCTACTGGGAAATTGACTTACTATTTGATTTGTTAATGTTAGACACAGCTATTTGCTTTGCAGTATAGATTGTCTTCTAATTAAAGACGCACCGGTTTTCCTGAGGTACTACTTGATACCTTTCTCAACTACACAAACAAGTACACCATCAATTATAATGATTGCCCTCACTGCAGCGTTGTCTCTATCAATTTCACAACTTTGCAAAGTTGATGTGCTAACCCCGCTCTCCTGAAATAATTAGCTTGTAATTAGCTTGTTAGATAATGAGGGAGAATCCAGTTGGCTCGCATGCTAATCGACAAATACCGCTGGGGTGAGCTCCTAACACTGCAAACACACAGCACACAAAAGTATTATATCCTAATGTTCACCGTTTGAATGGATATAAAGGCTACAGGCCAGATGTGTGTTTGTTGTTCAGCTGGCTGAGAACGTTTACAACGGATTATTGTTACAGATTCATGTCCAGAGTGTTGAAATTACCTCAGTGTAGTTTAAATATAATGTAATATTTGTAAGACAACTTAATCAGCAATGTTAGGGAGTTCAAACTAACACAAAAGCAAGTGAATATGCCCCTATAACTGCTTTATTTCCTTCACTATCTCACAGATTTCTCTAGTTTTAAAAAGTAATTTTTAAGGCTAGACTATTAGCTCAGAGCACTGAGGCAGATTGAGTTCTAAGGATGGTAATCTCAATGTCTCGGTCCACCGCTGCGGTCCAGAATGAAGTATCTGAATGGGTATTGGATGGATGGGAGCGAGACTGCACCCAAAGGAGGAATCCTAATTACCTGAATGCTTGCTTGGCTTTTTCCTCTAGCGTTGCACTGAGGATTGCATTTATGGTTTAGCATAAAATGTTGACAACTGTTAAGAGTTACCATTATATTCTCTTAACTTTTAATTCAGCATCATCATCAGGTTACGGTGTGTAAGAGTAAGGTATCATTTGTTGATCCCTGCGGGGAAACTCATTTACTGCATTTAACCGTATTATATTAGCAGCAGTGGGCAGCCATTGTACAGTTTCTGAGGACATAATCCAGCTGTAAGTCAGTGTTTTAATCAAGTGCACAGTGACAGGACCTAATGTAGCATGTTTTTCATAGTGAAGCTCAGAGCTCACAGGGAAAACCTGCACAAGCACAGGGAGAAGATACCAACTCCAAACAAAAGTGCTCCAAATAGAGTTTTTGCAGACTCATGATCCTGTAACACTTCCTCAGCAGACTGATTAATGTCTACTGGAGGGGTTAAAGGCTTCTTTTTAGTTATTGTTATTGTTAAGTTAGGGGTGGTTAGAGGTGCGCAGATGGATCCAAATATCGAACGTATCAATAACATTACTGGTTTTGGTATCACATGAATATAAGCGCTATAGGATTGATGTGTTTGTGATGATGTTTAGAATCTTATTTGCTATTTTTAGTTCTTAATAAATAAAACAAAATGTTCAATTTGTGAACAATCTACACAGTTAGAATCAAAAAGGGAGATAAACCAGGGTATGCTAACAATGTGATTGACAAATCTGCTCCCAAACCATCAAGATGCTCATCAAGTCTTTTTTAGACTACAATGGGTAATCTAATGTGACCATAACCATCCTTTATATACAGTCTATCAGTGTGTTAACAATGATAGGTTGTGTAATGGCTCTATCATCATACAATTTTAATTTTAAACTTGGTTATGAAACTGTCTGTGTGCAGATGAGCATTTTACCAGCACATTAAAGTCACCGTTTATTTACCTAAATTGAGCATGGGCTTGCTGGTATACAGAGGAAACAGGAGATTGCTTGCTTATTTGCAGATTCACAGGATATAGTGGATGAGTGAAGGACATGAAATGACTGTTAAGTTCTAATATGGACGTGAACCTTCGTGTCTGCGTCAGCATTTTCAGAAGTCTGTTCCTCCCTGTGCACACCTCAGCACTACAGAGTCTCTGAATACATTTACAATGAAACTTTTCCAAAATATAATTTTTACTGAGCTGAAATTGTGTTTGTGCTTTGAAAAAGGGGACAAATCATATATATGAAAAACCGGATAAAGCCTCACAGAGTCTCATGTCCCTGATGTACAATGAGTGCTCCAACTTTTCTGCATGAAATGAGCCATGTAAGTGTTTATCGGGCTTATATAGAAGGTTTTCCTCTAAAAATAAGTTTTCATGTCTGCGATTAGGAGATGGGTAGATTGGCACAAACACAAGCAGGAGGCTTAAGACAAATTATTTATTTTATTTAAACTCCCTCTTGTTGAGATTTATGGTTTAGTCTGGTCATAGTGACAGTTAGCTATCAACTGTATTCATGCTATATGATAATCATAGGCTGATAGGTATTATTTTAGTATACGTAAACAGAAACGTGTGTGCATGCACAAAATAAACAAACAAACAAAAATCAGAGTTTTGGCTGTGTAATTGATTCATAGTGTTTTCTATCAGTGCAATGATCCAGAGGAAATGGAAGAGCTGGAACAAATTAAAATAGATTGTGGTTGCTGGTGGAAGACCTCCAAAACGATCTGCAGGAGGGAAAAAGACGCAATAAAATATGTATTAAACATTAGAAGTTTTTGTTTGTTGTTATCAGCAGTGCCATTTCAAACTTTGTCATTTTGACTGGAGTTTGCTAGTGAAAATGTTCTTTTTTTTGATAAGATAAAACGGTAAAATACATAATTTCTTGTGCTGTAATTAGGATCTAGCTTATTCAGTACTTTTTAGAAACTCCGTGTAGCAAGCATAAAAAACACAACTAGGTTTGCGAGTATTTTTCATCCTGACATGATTACCTCTTCAAAGGAGACATTTGCATTGGATTTTTGCTCTCATTAGAAAGTTTATTTGACCCTTTTCCGAGAACACAGCTTTTGTCAGTTGCAGGCCGCCGTCGCTCAGGGGAAGAGGAGGGGTCGAGGTTGGTTCTGCGCCAGAGACTTGGAGGAGGAGATAAGTTCTGCCAAATTGGTTGCAATTCCTACTGGTCCTATAAAGGTCATAGATTATTTAACACCCCTTTAAAGCCGTGGACTGATTGGAAAGAGCGAGCCCCTGTCACAGTTAATAACTAAATGTTTGGTTCTTATGGCTTTGTTGTTCCCAATAAATCCACACATCTGTCCAATAAACACACCAGTCTGCTTTTTATAATCTCAAGCTGAAAAGCAGGAGAATAAGATATTGAACCAATGCCTGACTAATGGCAACAGTGCCAATATACAGTCTGTGACAGTACTTGAGTGTAGGGCAGTTTGGCCTTTTCTTTGGTGTTGTTCAATGGTGTATCACTGAGGAGTATCAGCTATGAAGCCAACTGGGTTTCCCCTGACATTTTTGTGACATTTTACCGTCTGGATGTGGCGGCACACAGTATGGCACAAGCTGTCCCATCTGCGGGGTCTCATGGGGTCCAACCACCATCTCAGTCTGTGCAGGCCTAAATATGAGAATATTAACAGCCAGGCAGAGGTAGCTTTCACGCAGGATGTGGAATAATTTCCCCTGAAGCAGTACAATGTTATCAGGCCTGCAGGCTTTCATTAGATTTGATGAAGTGCAGAAGTGAACAATGGTGAATCCTGGTTTGCTTTTCCTCTTTGGTTTCCACGTGCGTCCATCGCATCCACGAAAAACAAATTCAGTCATAAACAAGCCATAATCAGGGCAGGAAATTCTAATTACTATTTATTATTTATAAGAAAGTAATCATGCATATAAGCTCTGCTGCAAGTGTGCCATCTGCATTTATTTATCACATGTAAATCATATACAGTATGTAAATATTTAACCTACTTAACTAGATGCAGTGTTTATTATCGTTTAGGAAATCCCTTTCTTCTTTTCTATGCTAACCTCGAAAGCTCTGGATTGGATCTTTGTGTCTGTGTCCTGTACTCCCATTCTATCCTGTGCCGTGCCCCAGGGTTCTGTCCTGGGGCCCATCTTCTTTGGTTTATATCTGCTTCCACCTAGACCAACCATAAAGACAATTTTATACCAGAGATGATATCCTGTTGTACATTTCATGCAAATGTAGCCCAATCTGTTTTTCAGGACTACATTAATGTTATAAAGAAGTGAATTATTGTCACTAAATACACAAAAAAACATTCTCATTTATCCCCCTAATGATTTGTCCCCATGGTGGTCGGAATTTTGACATATCACTTCTTTCAGTCTCCCAGCAGTCAGGAGTCTGGGTGTTAGATGTGATCAGGCATTCAATTTTGATAAACCTGCTGATTCTTGTTAGATCTTGTTTTTATAATCTGTGGCTCTCTGACTGACATAAATATATAGTGTTTCAACCTGAAATGGAAATTATGGTGCATGCTTTTATTCACAAGATCCTAAAATCTCTCAAGTGACACCCAGCTTGTTGTCTTTGCTCTGGATCCCCATAAAGTTCAGAGTTCAAGTCAAAAGTTTGGTGATTACTATAAATTGATTACTAATAGTCAGATCCTTCCCTATTTTATTTACCTTTTACTTACACTAACAGAACTACTGGTCTGCTGCTTGTTGGTGGTACCTCCATCGAGCCTAAGGACTGTAGGAGACATTGTGTCTACATTATGGAACTTACTTTCACTGGACTTAAGATCTGTGGATATTGTTGATACTTTTACTTTTAAAAGCTTAAGACCCATCTGTGTAAGCTTGGTTTGCCCAAGTACTTGTACTCCTCTGCCACATTAATGGGTCATGTAGCCATCGTTTTCCTTCTGAAGTCAATCACCATCTTTCTGGCCTTAATTACATTCATAAGGAGAAGATTTCTGCCTCCCAGACCACTCCATAAAATCATCCACTGGTGCTCTGTACGCCTCCTCTTGCACATCACTCATCCGGTAACTGCAGAATCAGGTGCTCGTCAGAGTGACTCACAGATCAGGATGTGATA